CTTTTAGAATGATGCTGGCTGAACAATGAATGGCCTTTGGATCGTTTAAGTAAGGCAACTATACTCAAAAAAAAAAAAAAAAAAAAAAAAAGTAGCAACGGAAAAGAACCAAGGAGGAGTCAAGGGGTTAAACCTGCTGACCCCTGTGCCCTGCTATAGGTCGTGTCTCCTACTTCCCTGAACAATGCTATCTCGAGGTCTCGAGTGCTTAATTTACAGGGATATAGAAGGCCCAGTCTTGGAATTCTCCATGCATAGAAATGGGCATTGTGGATTTCAGCCTGCTGTTTGGCAAGCCCTCAGCCCAGATGGGGTTCAGTAATGACTCCTGCAAAGTGTTTAATCAGATCCTCGAAGAGCCCACGACTGCCGTGTTTAATTATTCCGATTTAATGGAGCATTCAGCTGGATCCCACTTGGTTTGCGAGCAATGATTACGGTCACGGGGAAGAGGGGCCGAGGACCCAGACAGACACCCGGGACCCAGTGATGCGCTACACAGAGATGGAGGAGCTCTGCCAGGGTCTGACATCTCCAGCTGCAGATGTGTATTTATAGCCGTTTTCTCTGAGCCAGCACTGATTTAGTCGAGGCAGATGATTTACTGAAACGCTAGGGCTCTGAACCTCCTCCTGCACACGTCCTTCCTCCCGACTTCACTGCACAGGGAAAGGCTGAGGGAGCAGCCGATATTCAAACAACAGAACTTCTACTCCAGCACCTAACGGCCTGATTAATGGATGCTGATGACCAGGACATTGGGAGTCTAACCCTTCATCGTGTTCTTTAATAAGCGGGCAAAGATACTTGCATGTCAAAGGGGCAGGTTATTTTTTATTTGCTCCTGTGAAAAACCAAGCTGCTCTGCAAATTTTAGGTAGGTCTCTGATATGAGGGCTGGAAAATGGAGGGTGGTATATTTCAGAGTCTGCAGACGCTAATGGTTGAGTCAGAATTTCGATTGTAAGGATTGAATGGGGCAGTGAATTGTCTTATATTAAGATGAACTGGAGGGCGCTTAAAAGATTTTTTTTAAAGTAACTTAAAGGCCCTGAATCTTATAAAAAAATGCAAGAATGTCACCTTTGGAAGTGACGCTCATTTAAACCTTTTGTAAAATTCACGAGGTTTTCTTTGGGCTTAAGCTTCTGCCTAATTCCTGCTACTGAAAGTCAGGAAGCTTGGTCTTTGGGTTAACTTGGAGGTCATAGGTCAGAAACCCAATGCATTCCTTGGATTTTGCGGGTTTCTTAACCATGTTCCCTCGCTAAGGAGCATAAACAAACACATTTCTCTCCCACCTGCCTCTAATCAGGTGTTGAATTAAATCCAGTCGACTGTGTCTACGCTCCTCTCTGCTAGTGACTAGCATGCCCAAACTGTGTCGGCTAGAACTAGGGAAATGCTTTTCAACTTGTAAGCGCCAAATCCACACACGCTCAGGTGAACTGGAACTCTTTCTTACTAACCAGTCACCCCAAAGAGCAAAGCGTCTGTAAAAATTTTCATCACCTCCTCCCGCACACCCCCATCTTGGAAATTCTCAGGAAAAAACACTGGCTTGATTTCAGAGGATCTGAGATGACTTAATAACCTCCAGAGGTTGGGACTACAAGTGGTGGGCCTTTGCAGCTTAGGAAGGCATGCGTGAGTGCAGTTCACAGTGACTGCGGCAGAGGGGTGGGTTTGCCATAGATGGCCGCTCGTTCTAGTGACCCACCATCCTTGTTGGAAAGAGAGTAGGGTCAACTCTTCAAGAAGTCATATTCACAGCTTCTCCACAACTGCAGATTGTCGGTCCATCTAAATTTCATGTCTGTTCTCTCCTTAAATTGCCGTCCAGGTTTCCCGGGCCAACAGTTTACATAATGTGGAGCAAGACACGTTAACGTCCACGTGCTCGACACCTAACCACAGTCACAGTTCCTGAAGAAATCTATCAAGAGCATGATTCTTGGGCTTCCCTGGTGGCGCAGTGGTTGAGAGTCCGCCTGCCGATGCAGGGGACGCAGGTTCGTGCCCGGTCCGGGAAGATCCCACATGCCGCGGAGCGGCTGGGCCCGTGAGCCATGGCCGCTGAGCCTGTGCATCCGGAGCCTGTGCTCCGCAACGGGAGAGGCCACAGCAGTGAGAGGCCCGCGTACCGCAAAAAAAAAAACAACAAAAAACAAGCGTTTTGAATAGATATCTCTTTGGTCTTGGGCTCTGCAGAGAAGCAGCTATGGTTTATGGCTTCATGAGTTTGACGGAGACTTCCGTTAATGACATGTCATCAGTTTCTGCATTTTAATGGGCTAGCAGGACAGCCGACTCCTGACATTTCAGAGATAATTGTGGTATCAGTAAAGGCAGGACTGTATTTTTACGCTCTCCACCCCTGCCCGATGTAAGTTATATTTTTAACGATAAACCTGCTCCTGGAGACTGAGAAGAGCAGGATAAAGCCTCTGAAATACGAATTAACTTTGTCACATATGAGAATGGCCTGAATACATAATAGATCACTGCCTATGGTTAGAAAAAACCTGCTTGATATCACTTATTATAAAATAAAAATGATTTCTAGTAGATACATTCTAATATTTAATTAGTTTGTACCCAGGAAGTCCTTGCAGAAAGCCAACATGTTTAGCTGCTAAGGGGGGTACCTTTTGTGATTAACAGTGTCTACGAGGACGCCAAGTTGCTCAAAACCACCTGCACTAAGGGGAACACCACATAGGGATTTTCTACAGGTTGGCTGTTCACTGGAAACATACGTTTGAAAAAAGTCGAGCAGGCCAAAAGTCATGCGGCCATGTTCTCTGGCATGGCCACCTGGCAGACTTGAGAGATGATTCATTCTTTGCTGGTACAGACTGAGAAGTATTTCTTCAAAAGAACCCTTCCGGTCTGTAGGTGTGCCCTAGGGAGGTGGGATGACTCTCCATTCAGCTAGGTTTGGGCCAGGTTCCTTTGTTTTCTCGAAGCGACGTCAACCTTGGTATCCGCTTGGTTGTCCTCTGAAGCAAAAGCGTCCATCCCTGCCCAGGGACGCAGAGCTGCACGCAGGCCCTGGCCAGGACACACAACTACCCGTCGTTCAGCTTTTACTGAAGGCAAGAGCTGTTTATGGCAAACTGTCTGGTGAACATGCAGTCCAGTGATTCCTCTGAAGTTTAGGGTTTATCCCTGAACCAAACCTTTCCCTCCAGTCTCCCACTCAGCAGCAGCTCTGTGGGTTCTACCTGCGAAGACATTTTCAAGTGTGACCCAACTTCTTGCCCCCATCTTATCTGCTCGCATCATCTCTCACCTACATGGGTCTTCCTTCTCTACTCTTTCCCTTATCCCAGGCGTTGGTCAACGATGCTAGTGAGTGGCCTGCAAGCTACAATGGCTCTTCCATCTTTAAAGGGCAGTAAATGAGAACTAAACAGGCAACAGACAGTATGTGAGTCTCAAAGTCTAAAATATCGACTGTATGCCTCATACAGAAAGTCTGCAGGCCCCTGTTCCATGTAACTCCTTCTGCTTTCGGAGTCAGAGTAAGCCTTTAAAACACAGGAGGTATAATAAAATAAAACAAACAAAAATAAAACACAGGACACATTACGGTGCTTTCCTGCTTCAACAGCTTCCTTTTGACTTAGAATAAAATCCAGACTCTACCATGGCCTAAAGTTACTTAATGATCTGGCTTTTACCTGTCTTTTCTAACATCTCCTTCTTTCCCCATCACTACCTACTTTCCCTATATCCTTTCTACAGACTCGGGGCCTTTGAACTTGTGTCCCCTCTGCCTGGAAAACTGCCCCCAGCTCCCTCTGGCCTGCTCCTTCCCCACCTTCAGAAGTTTCCTACCCACGGAGGTCTCCCCAAGCACACTGTCTACACCTCTGTTCCTCACCTGTAGAGAGGGGATGATCTAGGTAGCTGTCCTTTAGGGTTGCCATATAGACACAATGGACACAGAACAGGGCCTGGCACACGGTAACGAGTCAAACAATGTCAGTTATTACTATAGTTACTACAGTATAATTTTAGTAATAATTAAGGGAGCCCATCCCAGGCACTGTTTATTTCTTTGAGTTTCAAATAATCGGACGCCTGTCTCCCCTTATTAGACTGTATGCCCTGTGAAGACAGGGCCCAGCTGGTCTTGATCACTGATGGCTCTTCCACTCCTGGCAAGTGCCTGGTTCACGGTGAGAGGGAGAGCGAGGAGGGAGGAAGATGCCTACCTGGCCCACGAAGCCCTGGCTTCCTGAGAACCCACAGTCCCTGGACGTGTCCTGGAGGTGCGCCTGTATCTTCTGCAGGGGTGGCTTCAGGAAACGGCCTTATGAAGCCTCCCGCTCTATCTGCTGCAGGACCGTTTAGTTTTCAATACGCCGCTCATTTCTCACGCCCACGTGAGAAATCCCTCTGAAAGGTAAATTCTAGGAATCGCTCTGCTTCCTCCAAATTCTTGATACGGTTTCTGTTCTCGGAAGGTGGAGAACTTTGTACCGTGATTACTGTGGTTCCCTTCCCACTCTGGCTCACGTTCTGTCTTCTTTCTGTCTCACCTTTGATTCAAGTTTGCAGTTTACTCCTTCCTGATTATTTTTCAAATCCCTATTACTTTATTGCATTTATTTTCTTGTAAGCAAGACCAAATGCTTTGCTGAATTAAAAATTTTTAAAAAAATCAAAATGAAAGGCAATCTTGGGTAAATCACTTGACTTTAGCCTCAGTTTACTGAGCTGTAAAATGGGAATCCCGGCACCCACCTAGTAAGGATACTGTTAGGATTCAATGAGATCTATGAGAAGTGCAGAGGACAGTGTCTGGCACGTGGCAGCCGTTAGTCAGTACTAGTAACTTTTTACTTTAAATCAGGTTGGGATTCTGTAAGAAGGCTCAGTAGTACTCAGTACAGATTAAGGTCCTAAATTACCAGGAATAAATACTCATACACTCAGATGGTGGACATATGAGAACCCCGAAGTCTACATTCACCTGACAACACTGTTCCTTGTGTGGACTCTTTTAAACATTTATTAAAAAAGCAAAATGTACGTTCATCTCAAATAGAACAGTTAAAAATGGTAAAGCAATACAAACAACTTGTTACTAGCAGCATCCAGTTGTTAGAAGGAAGGTCCTGCCCCACTCCTCACTCTGCTTGGGCAAGCTCAGCCTTTGCTGAGCCCGCTGCTACCTACACCGCCCTCCAGAGTAGTGCAGGTGAAACCAACGTTTATAAAATTAACAATTTAAGGTTAAATAAGCTTAAATAAGGGTGTTAAATACAAGACACTTCATCAAAGCTTCTGTACAAAGATAAAACAAATTTGGCATCGTACAAGCGATTCTGCTGGCTCATGGCACACAGGGGAGCTCTCGTAAGTAAGCAGGTTGACTCTTTTTTTCCAACAGAGCATTAACTATACAAAAGTGAACTAAGAGTTGAAGTAACTACTCAGTGAGCCATTTACAAGGCATATGTATCTTTTCTTTTCTTTTTTTTTAATCAGAACACTGTTAATATTCAGGCACCGTTTGCTCCTGCAAATAAATAAGTCTCTAAAGGAACTGCATTTGAAGTCGTGTTAGACACATCAGTGCTTTTTCTGTCCCCCTCCCGACACGGCTTTTCCAACTATTTCCCCTGCCTCTTTCTTATTGCTATGATAATGTGGCTGTAGAAATAAAAACTACTGTACATCCAAAAAAATAGAGCACCTTTAACATTAAAGTATATGTCTGATTATTTGTTCTCATGTTTATTTTACAATTCTAAAGCCCAAGCTATGGTCAATTGTTTTAATATCTCTACCAAGTCACCTGATATATAGGACATAAAACCCAACCCTCGTCCCTCAGGAGGGAAGCCCACGCAGAGCTCCGTTTCAGCAGAGCCTCAGAGGGCCACACTGACACCAGAGTTTACATTCATCTCGACACCAGCGTTACATTCATCTTCACGAGCGTTGCTCTCCGCGGTCACACGGCGGCTCCCTGTGCTGCTGGGGGCGTGGTGCTAGACAGAGTGGGACAGCAAGCACAGCTACGGTGGGCTGGAAGCACAGCGAGAAACCACATGTTGGCGACTGTGAAGGGACCCCGGGCTTCCCCGGGGCCCCCGGTTGGGCGGCGCTCAGGTTACGGCTTTTTGTCGATGGTGTTGAAGAACCACTCCGTGAACTTCCGCAGCTGGGCCGTGGCCGTCTGCGACTCCTCCTGAAGCCGCAGGTTGTCCTGCCTCAGATGCTGCACCTCGGCCTGCAGCACGGCCTTGTCCTGCTTTTCCTGGGGGAAGGGGGTGGAAACAGATGGTCATGCATCTGCCGGACACGCTCTCTCCTCCCAGCTGCGGTCCGACCGCTTCTACCCTTTTTTTTTTTTTTTTTTACTGATTTACTTATTTATTTCTTGAGGCGAGAGGGAATCTGATTGCCCGCTCTAGTTTCTGCCAAAAACAGGGGGGTGGGGACGAGTAACTCAGAATATTCTTTCCTTTCATCCCACTTTGCTCCCAGCAGGAAGCGAGACAGCTGTTATACGGGAAGGTGATTAACCACAGTCTATACTATCCTCTCTCTGAAAAAGGGGGCCTGGGAAAAGGTACAGCCTTGGACAGGAGGGCAGAGCTTCCCGGGTGCACAAGTCGGAATCAGCATAGCTGCTGATGCTGGGCTTGTTTATCATGAGCTCATCTCATCTTAAAGCTTTCCTGGGACAGTGTATTTCCCTAATGACCTTCAAAGGGTGCCACTAAAAACTATGTACAAATTATCAAGATGTTTCAGGGGCTTCCCTGGTGGCGCAGTGATTAAGAATCCACCTGCCAACGCAGGGTACACGGGTTCGAGCCCTGGTCCGGGAAGATCCCTCATGCCTCGGAGCAACTAAGCCCGTGCGCCACAACTACTGAGCCTGCGCTCTAGAGCCCGCGAGCCACAACTACTGAGCCCACGTGCCACAACTACTGAAGCCCACGTGCCTAGAGCCCGTGCTCCACAACGAAGAGTAGCCCCCGCTCGCCGCAACTAGAAAAAGCCCGCACTCAGCAATGAAGACCCAACACAGCTGAAAATAAATAGTATTAAGAAAAAAAAAAAGATTTTTCATAAGAATCAGACCTGGAGTTTCCAATAGACAGTAACAGAAAACGTACAACACAAGTTTGAGCTCCCAGACGCTGAAAGGGATGTCTTGCCCCAGACAGAGAGAGGGGGGCTATCACAGTGGCAGTGGAAGACGACTTGATGGCTAACTCCACAGATGCACCTGCAGCCCTGTGCCCACGGCCGTGCGGGTGAGCCGGGGGCTAAGACTCTTCAGGAGACTGGCCCCCTAGGCATGTCTGGCCCTGCCCACGAGCTTTGCTGCTATTTCCTGTCCCTTCTCACCTCTCGACCAAAGACAGTGGTCCCAAGTGGAGGCTGGTGTTAGAACTCATTGCTGAGTCAGCCCACTTCCCTCAGTCATAAGAGGTTCAAGCTCCTGGCCGCCCCAGGCCCCAGGGCTCTCATTCCCAACACGGCTCAGACATCCCCAGGGCCCTGCTGCGGCTCAGCTGCCCACCTCTCCTGACCCCTTGACCCTTTAACTCCACCCATGGAATGCACCCTGTGTCACTGAAACCTGCTAAACTCTCAAGCTTTTCCCTGGATATTCCCTTTATCTTCAGCTAGACATGAGTCTTGACTCTCTCCTGGGGACAAGGGCTTGTTCTGAAGAGCACAGGGCCTGGAGGCTGCCAGGTCAACACCTCGCCCTGGCTGCCCGGTGCAGGTAACTGCTCTCCCCTAAAATCCCAGCTCCCGTGAGAAGCCTGACACGGGCTGTAAGATCTGCCACCCCTGCTCTTTGCCACGGTTGACTATATCTCCACTCCCTCCCATCATGGAAGATTCTAGAATGTGGTTCACCTTTCGTCTTTCCTCCTCCATCCCTCACGCTTATTGATGATCTTAAGACGCCGTAGATGTTCCACCTGATTCAGTCTCTTTGTGACCTCGGAGACTGCCCTCCTCACCCCCCCTCCTGGGGCCATTTCCTGTACCTTGAAGCTATTACTGACAACCGCATATCTTCCTAAATGCTTCAAGTTCCCACTGCCTGACCACCACCTCCTGTCTTTCTAAAATAATTTCTCCAGTATCCACCCCTCCAAAAATGATCTAATCTACCAATCTTACCTTATTGTCAGCGTCCACTGACACCCCTGTGGTGACATTATTCCTTCTCACCCACCTTAGACTCCGAGTCCCTCAGTTTAATCACATCCTATACACACTGAATGGTCCTTGTCTATCGCTGCTGGTCTTAATTTCTTGTCTGAAATCGAATATTGGTTAAGTTCAACCCTCTAACTTTTCTACACCTACATCTGGAGACAGGGTGACCAGCTGGTCCAGCTGGTCTGGGATGTGCTTAGTGCCAGCTTTGAAAGTTCTGTGTCCTGGGAAACCCTTCATGCCAAGCAAGCTGAGACAGCTGGTCACCCATACTGGAGGAAAATACCTAACTTATGCCGCAGTCTTACCAAATACATCTGGTCCAATTATCCTCCACTCTACACCTTACCCTCCATCCCTAAATCTCTCACCCTCCTTCCCATCGCTCACCCTCAGCTCTGGAATAAAGAAACAACCAGAGGGGAACTTTGCCAACCTGTGTCTGTTTGGACTGCAGCCATACCTTGCTTTGCAGATACCAGTGTTTTACAAATTGAAAGTTTGTGGCAACCCTGCACCGAGCAAGTCCGTCGGCGCCATTTTGCCCACTGCATCTGCTCACTTCATGTTTCTGTGTCACGCTTGGTAATTCTCCCAATACCCCAGACTTTTTCATTATTATTACATTTGTTATGGCGATCTGTGATCTTCAACGTGCTGTAATTGTTTTGGCATTGTTTAGCATAAAAAGTATTTTTTAATTAAGGTATGTGCATTGTTCTTATAGACATAATGTTATTGCACACATAACAGACAACAGTATACCACAAACATAATTTTTATATGCCCCAAATATTCATGCGATCCAATGTATTGTGATATTCACTTTATTGCAGGGGTCTGGAACCAAACCTGCAATATCTCTGAGGTAGGCCTGCACTCGTGTATGAATGCTTGTGTGCACGCATGCACACGGACACACACACACAGACACGCACACACACTCTGCTCTGGTAACTATGTGTGGACGGTCCTTACTCCCATCCAGGCCAGCTTCCTCCTTGTTAGGCTCAGGACATTATTTCCCTCCCAAATGGATCATCTCCACCAGCGTTCATGCCAGCTGTCACCTCTCCCTTCTTCCACCAACAAAACCCTCCCCACGGCCCCTCCCGGCCTCACCATCACCCTCCAGCTACAGCACTCCATTCCATTTCCCCGGATAGCAAAGCGGCTACTGATAACACGGTGCTGATGATCCAGAAAGAGCTCAGCAAATGTCCGTGGAATGAATGACTTCACATCTTTTGAGGACCAAGCTCGCACAGGGTGATGGGCAGAGCGGATGCTGACTCAGTAGGAGGAGGCAGCTTGGGGAGACCAGGCTTCCTGACAGCTACTAACTCTTCTTAGGTCAGCTCATAAATGTTGGTGCAACTGAAACTCACTGAACTGAAAAACGCTCGCCTGCTGCATTTCTGCCTCATCCTGAAGACTGGCCATCCAGGGCTCAACCTCATTCAGTCCAATCTACAGGACCTTGTGTCCCCTACAATGAAATACAGTAGCTGTGGGCAGGAAGATGGAATCAGACCTCAGGAGTCTCCGTTTCCATTTACTGTTGGGTTTTGACTAGGGCAGTTATCTTTCTTGAGTGTCTTTTTTTTTTTTTTAATTATTCCTAATAGTTAAAAATGGTTGATTGTGTGAGAGAAAGAGTTCGGAGCACGGGCTTCCAATCGATTGCTTTACCTTCCGAAGGTCGGTCTGCAGCTGCCGAAGAATCAGCTCTAGCTGGTTCACTTTCCCGGTCAGTGTGGATGGAGGCCGCCCTCTAGCAAGGAAGGAAAGACTTAGAAAGACTCAAGCGCGCTGAGGTCGACACCGCAGTCGAGAGTATTCGTTGGTAAAGTTTTCACGTAAAACATTCTATGGTGCGCTTAGAGCCCCGCAAGGAAATAAATAAGATTATGTCAGATGTCGAAAGTGAACGCACTGCTGCTTTGGTGGAAAAATCCCTCCTGGGTCGCTTTTGATTTAAAAGGGGATTCAGAATCTCTACAGGCATACACATTGGTAAGAAAGCAAAAGATGGGTGATCGAAATGCAGTTAGCAGCTGAGATTAGGCAGACCAGAACGAAGTCCTGAGAACCAAATATAGACTCAGTTTCCCCAAATCTGCCTTTCTCTGTTAAGGAAGTATCAAGAGGCTCACCACCAAGATGAACATGCAAGTTGTTGATAACTCGAGTTGACAGAGAAGTTGGAATTAGGCGTGGGAGACACTGAAAGAACATACGCTCTGTGGGTGACGAGCACGCCGAGAACACAGGGGTAGAGACGGCTAGCTCTCGGCACCCCTCAGTGGGAGTCGTGGGGCTGGGGGCGGGACCGGGGCTGGGGGCGGGACCGTGCCCTTGGCAGGTGGAGGACGGTCAGCGAGGTACCCCCGTCTGATGCCGCTGCAGTGATCAGGCAGCAGATGCTGACCGGGCGTCACACCCTCCCACCCGGCCCGAGAGCCTCACCGCCAAGGGCACTGACCACACGTCTTGGCAGGACCCTCCCGCGGAGCACAGCAGTTATGCTGCCAAGCTCCATCCACCCGGCAGCGCCCGCTCGGTCCCTTCTCTGGGTCCTGAAGGGCTGGGGAAGGCAGGTGGAAATGGTTTCCTGGCTGTGGCCGGGGCTGAGCTGAATCCCTGTTAACAACTGGGGCCTGGGACACGGGAGGGAGGCGGCCCACAGGAGCCACATACCCAGCGGCGTCCATGAAATCTTTGCCACTGCCAGGATCGACACATAAAGGCAGCTCCTGGGCCCCTTCCAGGTCCTGCTCGGGGTGCATATCTGTCAGGGTGCAGAAGGACGCCACTCTCTGGTCTGGGGATGGGAGACACACACAGAAAGAAGCATTAGTAATAGCCGCCAGGCACCGTTTCTTCGTGGAAATGAATAGTTGCTAAATAAAACCTTCCCCTCCCCCCAGTCAGTTACTGCCCTGTGTGAAACAAAACAAAGAAGAACAAGCTCAGGCAAGCTGCTGACAGTCGGAAAGCATTCAGACCGGCCGTCCTTCTGGGCTGCACAGCACACTCACATCACAGCCGGGGGAGCAAGGAGCAGACACTGGATTGGCTAGAGCCAGTCTTTCTTCTGTCCACATCCCAAGAAATGCCCAAGCTGCTGGCTGGGCGTGAAAGAACGGCGTCGGGGGACGACATGACTGATTCACAGAACCAAGGAGAGGGACCTCTCCTCAAGCTCTCCCCGAAGCCGGAGAGCTTCCTTGAGACACAGTGGCCCGGACACGTCACCCTGTGCGTCCCCGACCCTCCGTGCTTCCATAACCATGCAGACGTGCAGACAATGAAACAGAAAGAAAAGGTTACGGAGGATGGAGACCCCACGAACAGCCCCAGACAATCACCTAGATAGGACGTGTGGTGACAGAGTAGCCCAAGTTCTTCATCTGAGTCAAGACCTGAAATAAGATTTAGAATTTTCTTTTGAACAGTGATATCTCTCTTCACTTGAGAGCCTCTGGGGGCCCACATCAGGCTCAGGTGATGGAAATACAGCTGTGTGTGTGTGTGTGTGTGAGGGGCACGTGTGTACACGTGTACCAGTGTGCACATCTGCATGTAAGTGTGTGTACACATCTGCCTGTGTGCATGTGTTGTACCAAGCCAGGAACTGCCCCGAGAGACAGTATAGTATTATGCATCGCCAAAGAGTGTGGAGAGATGGTACGTCTCACGTGTCCTGGTCCTGGCCGGATGCACGGCTGTCGTGACACAACAATGGTAAGTGGCGTGCCACACACGTGCCAATCCAGCTGCAGGAAGGCGTGACCATTTGGGGTTTGCTTAAATGACCAGCTCCCTGAAGGTAAAGATAGTGGTGGTGAGAGAGATTAGCTGCATATTCTCACTAAAACCCTTAGAGGAAGATCTGCAGTGTTTACAGCAGCAAGAGCAACGATCGGCTCGACTAGCCCTCCTTAGCACGGGGCCATTTCTGTTCCCGGCACCAGTGACTTCACATCCAATGTCTCAAGAGCTAGGCAGGAAAGGGAATGTGATGTTCTTCAGAACGGGAACCAGACTGGCCCAGCTCTGGACGCTGAGCTCTGACACAAGAACGCTGGCCCAGAAATGCTGAATGGCATGCAGAGAAATCCTGCTTTCAAGCAAAAGGTACAGGGGAGAACCAGGGACACATCTAGTCATCCACCACCCACCCCCCGCCCCCTGGTACCCGAGCGCAGCCACACTTGGGATCCGAGGGATACGGCAGGTGCGTTAGTGCTGCAGTGGCTTTTTCACGTGGTTTGATTAATGGCTGGGAAATCGCACCGGGGGCCGTGTCAGGGGTGCTCTGATCTTAATTTATCCCCCTCTGTCTCCCGCTGGCTGCTGGACGCCTCTCCTAATGAGGCTACCTGCTCGTCTGGATTCTGGAGGGTCACGCACATCCCGTTAATCAGAGAGGATGGCGGAGGGGCCGGGGGCACCCACAGAGTCCGGGCCCTCTCAGAGCTGTGCTGAGCACCCCGCCTGATCGATCGCACAGCAGGCTCCCCAGCCACGTGTCCCTTTCCTCTGTCGTGACACCTCAGCACCCGTGACAGGTACGCAGGTGTCCTCAACCGACATTCCTGTAAAGCTTAAAGGGGCCCTTCTCCACGCTTCGCACCTTCTACAGGATGAGAGACCTTCCGTAACTATACATTCCTGAGAGACAACCAAGCTCCCAACTTGGTACAGACTAGTAGGGGTTTTGCATCTGAGGAAATAATTTGTAATTTAATTAAGATGAACAGCATAACTCGGGCACTGCCTACTTTTACACCTGATGGCAAGTGACCAGCAGAGGTGGGCAGGAAGGACGGGGCACACAGGCCGGGGGTGAGTGGCCCTGGGGAGGGGTAGAGGGTCTGGTCTACCGGAGTGTCCAAGATAACCCTCTGTTCTGTGACGGCCCCAAAGCAGGGAATGCTTCCCAGTTAAAAAAAAAAATCAACAGCAGAGGCATTTTTTATTCCACAGTGAATTTAACTACGGACCAAAAGGAGTGAAAGAAAAGAACTTATTCTTCTCACTTTTTAAAAGAGTCTCATTGACTCGTCCACATTTTATGCAACCCGGTAATAACCTGGTTAGCTTGTATCTTTCCTTATATACTTGGTTCTGATGGTCAAGTCTAAATATCTCAATGAAAACGTCTTAGCTCGCTTCATCTATTTTTACCTTAATTGACAAAGTACCCACATATTTGAAGAAACAGAACTGGCTACTGGCAGCCATTCAAACATTCTTTGGGGAGAAACAAGGTCCCACAGGTCAGGAGGCAAGAAGCCAGAAATAGTTTTGCCAACAATGTAATTCCACAAAGAGGATTTCACTTGGAATCTGAAAAGCCTGGGAGGTTGAAATGCAACCAGAAAGCTACTTGATTAAGTACAGACACTAGACTCCTTTGTCAAGGAGCTAATCTTAGTGACAAGTTTCCAGTGGGCGCTTTCTTCCTCCACAGCTTATTTCTGTAATGATAAATATTCAGTAACCAAAGTGATCACTGACATGGAACCGAAAGGCACAGACAAAACTGTAAGAAAAGGGAGGCTCGGAGTATGAACTCCATGTAACTGGTGAGCACAGCTTCCAGTCACCCACACTGCTTGGTTTTTCCCTTTCTGTTCTTTCCCGTGCAAGCCAGTCTGGCTAAGGGGGGCCATAAGGGCATGGCTCACACGTGAAACAATCCTTCCCTTGAAAGAATCTTCAACAAACCTGATTTCAACGTCCGTTTCTTTTTTAAAATTTATTTTTTTGATTAGTATAGTTGATGTACAGTGCTGTGTACCAGAGTGATTCAGTTTTATATACATATTCTTTTCCATTATGGCTGATTACAGGACGTTGAATATAGTTCCCTGTGCTACACAGCAGGACCTTGCTGTTTACTGTCGGCTTCTTATTTTAGTGCATTTAGTGCTAAACAAGAGGGTGAACAGTCAGCAGACTATTCCGTATCAATCTAGAGCTGACAGGGCACAACAGTGGCCTGCAAATAACCCCTTCGACTCCAGGCAAGCTGCGTGGAGCAATGTCAGAGACCCGTAAGTCCAGGCCTGAATCGGGAGGGACGGGTGCTCTGATCAACTAGCCATGTCTGCCGAGGGTGTGGAACAGGAGAATGTATGCCCGATGTATACCACACGAGACACGCGGGTGTGAGGCTAAGTTAAACTAAACCCATTTCCACAAATGAGGCTGTTCTAATATGTCTTTGCTACAGCTACAAATTACAGAAAAGCTGGAGCTCTCTAGCTACAGGTAGAAAATCACAGGTTCTGTTTCTGACAGCTGGGCTTATCCAATTGTAGCTTATTTAGCTGACCGCCAGGAAAAAAAACATTTTTAAACATAAAGTACCTTGGTTTAGCCTTTTGCAGCCTACTGATGAACGACGCAAGGTGATGGTCTAGAATCTGAGTAACGAACAAAGAAAAGCTCTGGATTTATTCTTTAAGATACAAGTACTGTTGTCTGGTCCGCAACAATTCTCCTACTTTTGAGAGAATTTAAGTCAATTTACTATAGTAAATTAACGGTGCATTTTTCATCTAAGTAGCTGTCGTGTTTCTTTTCTTTCCTGTTTTTTTAAACCTGAGGAGTCTTACCGTATGTCCCATTTTGTTTATGCTTATATGCACGCAGTGATTAAGTAACAGTAACTAACAACTTCATCAAATTTAAGCTGAAGCTTCAGAACCGAAAAAGTTCTCACCATAAACATGTAAGCTTACTGAGCTCTGTTTAAGAAACCAAGGGCAGTGTAAACTTCCATTTTTTCAGAAAATGCACTTATGTGGAATATTTCATTCCCATGGCAGTGCCTGACAAATGAGTTAATTCTGCACGTGTCACGAGCACACACATCCACTTGCAACAGTTACCACCAGTGGGAAAGAGCTGAAATCCCGAGGGGAGGAAAGGCCTGTGGGGAGGCATGCAGGATGCTGACACGCAGAGAGCCTCCAATCACCAGTTTATAACGTTGCCTTTGACACCTGTTTCCACTTAAGACAACATCATCCACTCAACAAATGCCGGAGAACAGACCAACTGGCAACCTCTGATATTTTGATAAGAGAACCACTTTAAATCCTAGAACTTTTCAAGACACTCCACTCTTCCCTTCCCCGGCTTCACTGTCCGCCCCACAGCTCGCTTTGCTAGTTGGGTTTGTTCACTTGACCATACTGGGGGCATGGGACCGCTCTCTGTCATTCGGTCCCTCTATACTTCACATTATTTTATGTCATAAGGGAAGTGACAGATGATGGTCTCAGTGCCTAACATTGATGACAGGTGTTGTGTAGGAGTTCTGATGGGCCGAAGATCACATCTCACCCTTCCCCCCTAAACATAACAACTGCCCACGTGACGACAAGCCAGAACTGGGACTCGGCCAGTTTTCCAACCCGTCACAGGAGAGGGCAGTGAGGGGCGCGGGCTGTGGTGGGAATCGCACTTGGCACTTGAGTCACCTTCTCTCTCCCAAGCGTGTGAAGGAGTTCTCAATGTTTAGACACTGGTTTTTGGTAGAGCTGCATGACCTATCTATTCACTTACTAATTAATTTTGAACAATGCTGCATAGCATTTCTCTGTTGGAAGCTTTTCTATTCTTTTCAATGACTGGCAGCAAGCAAATTCTCAGGAATGAGATTGCTGGTCAAAGGGGGTGGGGTACATCTTCTGGCTCTAGTTACGTACTGTCATATCGCCTGAACGCAAAGATGGATCAGTTTATAATCTTTATAACGACACCAGCTGTGAGCATTCTTCATAGCTCTCCAGAGCTGCCGCATCGTTTTTCATACTCAAGAGATGTGAGCTGGCACCTCGTTACTGTTTGCATTTCCATGTGTGGTCGAACACTTTTCAAGTCCTTATCTACTGTATGATCCACCTTTTGGACTGTGCGACACAGGACTTGACCGCTTGCTTATCGGGCGTTTGGCATTTCTGGGGGGTCATGTTCCTTCATTCACTGGAGATACTCCGGTTTCATCCATCACATTTATTACAAATCTTTCCCATGTTCCCCTACTTCCCCTTTTATGTTAATGTTCTCGTCCAGGTTCATAAAAGATCTAAATATTTAAAGACTTTTATCTGGTCATATGACGTTTTGTATGTTCTCTCATTACTCCATAATTACGGCACTGGCGTGCTTCCAAAACATTAATCTTTCTGTCTTTACTTTTTCTAGAATTGACTTTTCTAATTCCTCAATCCAAATGGAGTACATAAATTCCACTCCCATTTCACTCTTAAATATACGCAGATTTCAGCCTAGGCTCTTTTTTTTCCCTTCAAAAGGACTCATTTCTATCTTCTGAATCGTTGTCATGCTGCTGTATTGCTATTGATTTATAATAAACTTTTTTGTTGACCACTGTTCATCTGTT